GGTCGATGTATACTGCTCCTTGACATAGAGCGCCTAGAGACATATGTTCTAGTCTGGGTCTTAGCATGACTTCCCCTGGCTGTTGCAAGCCATGTTTGGGCCTGGTGCAGGAACTGAGAGCGAAGAGTCTGTCTTTTATGTTTTCATTTTCCTCCATTGATGGTAACAGGGCACCATCCCCAGGACGGTTGAAAACCCCTAGAGTCACCCTGGAGTCCCCCTTATTCCGACTCACTCTAGGAGCAGTCTATCCTTTAGTCACCTGCCACGTCATAATGTTCCTTGTGGTTCTCAGAGGGGAGACTGCCCCAGGGCTTGCCAGATCTAGTCTTTACTCCAAAGAACACCCAGAGGTGGGGAGCTTCTGTCTTAAGGGCTAATTAGATGGCTCTACACTACCCTACGCTGTAACCCATGCCTTGCAGATGTTACTGTTGTCACTGTTGGGGCTTCGGCCTCTGTGGCCTCCATCCCTTTACTTTAGCTAGGCCTTATAGCCTAGGCACACTGCATCAGGTCTGGCTTTGAAGTTCTAGCTTGTGTTTGTCCCTTCAGTCTCCTGGCCCCTGACTCCCGTCTGCTGGGCCCCTGTCTGGCTGCGCCCCTTTCTGGGGCCGGGCCCCTGGCTGCTGCCTACTACTCTCTCTGCCCACTCTGGGCTCAGTAGCTACTCAAACCTTGAGCCTACCCCTGGCTGGGCTCAAGGCAGTCATGTGCCCCTTGGGCACTGATGGGTCCTTTGAAAACTTTCCAACCCAAACTGCTGGTTTAAACTGCAGCATAAACTCTAAGCCCCTGGGCTGTAACAAAGAATAAAAAAAGTGGAGGCAGCGGGTCTGCTTACCCTGTGTCTCTTTCTGGGTTGCTCTGTCCTGTGCCCTTGACCTGCAGAGCTGTTTCCTTCCAGTCTCCTGGGCACTTAGGAGCCCTACACTCTGCCAAAGCCAGGGCTGGCCATCTGCCCCAGCTAGCTCAACCCAGGGCTTATATAGCTCTGGTCTGAGCTCTGTCCCAGCCTCTGTCAGCTGACCACCCCACAAGGTTACCTTTAATCTCTGCTCCGCTGGCAGGCTGTGCTCTGAAAACTCTGTCCTTAAAGTCGTCACTCTGCTTTCTAGTAACAGGGATAGGGTTCCCTGTCACACCTCCTTAATTATAATGCAGAAGGAGTGAGAGCCAGGAGAAGAGGAGCAGAGGAGAAGATGGCTAACTAGAATTGGGATTGGAGACTGGTGAGGAATGAGGGAAAACTACAACTGGGAGTTGGGGTCTATTTTGTGGCTGGAATGAAAAAAACAGAGTGGAGGCTGTGACTGGCTAGCAGAGGGATGAGCAGACTGCACTTGGGATGAAAAAATTACTTGCACAAAAATGGACTGGGGAATGATTGGCTAAACTGCAGTACTTTAGAGAGAGACCTGGCAAGGGTTGCCTGTTGCGTACCCCAAAAGGGCTGAGGGTGGAAAGCTACAAGATCTGTCACAGTGTACCATAACTTGAATGAGAGTCAACAACGTGCTCTTTTTGCAGCCCCCCTCCCAAAAACAAACAAACAAACAAAAAACCCAGAAAAAAAGAAAAGAAAAAAAAAAGCCAATAGCATAATACTGTGAGCTTCTTGGCTGGGCCCCAGCCGTGCACTTTTTGTCTTTGTCCCTGGTTTATTGAATGTAGTACTTATTGGGTGCCTGTAGATGTGTGGGGACGCTGTAATTACAGTACATTGGAGCAGACTCAATTAATTGAGTTTACTGGAGTGTGCTACTTGCCACGCTCCAGCAGCCTCCGCGTCTTGTGTATTCAGTGCCCTGCACTTCAAAATGGTGGTAGGGGTGCTTTAATTAGAGCTCGTTGAACAACCTTTAGTTAAAGTGCCACTGCTGCCATTTTGAAGTGCGGGTCACTGAATACATGAGATGCTGTAGGCGCTTTTCCCTCCCACCCCCAGAGCACATGTAAAGATGCCCAGTGAGCATAAAGAAACACCACAGTAAGTATAGAGAGCTTTTAAGCACTCTGAGCTGGCTGATCAGACTGGCTGGCAGCTGAAAAGTGTGCAGGGCTTACATGTTCAAAGTATGATAGAAAGATAGAAAGTTACTTTTTTTTTTATACCTTCTGTTATACTTTGAATAACTAAAGAAAACCCAATGAGGTCCTGATGGTTGTATAAGGAAACTAATCACCAGTTAACACATAAGTACCCATGCAAGTGCCCCCTATTTCATTACTTTGGTTTGTGTATCAATTGCTGAACCTTCCTTCAGACTTGTCTATCTTCCTGGAAACTATGTCACTTAATTTCAAATCTTCCTTCTGTGATCTGCAAAGGCTTTGAAACTCTGAACTCATAGGATTTTTGTTATCCCAATCAAGCCTGGTATTATCTTCCAGGAAGGGAGTAAGAAGTGGGGAATGGGTTTAGTGAGATCTCTACCTTCTCTCTTCTCAGAATAGAGGCAAAGGGAAGAGGGGGAGGGAGGTCTGCTAAAAGCTGAGGTCTTATTGAGCTAAGGTTTTTCTAAAGCTTTAGAGGACCTGTACCCCTGACAGTGGCTTGCTAAGTCTATCCAGCACACAGTGGGCTGTATTAACAGGGATATCACTTGAAGGATGAATAGGTAGTTAGCCATGTTAGTCTGAAGTGAGGCAGAGTGGAGTAGCACCTTCGGGTATAAACAAACATTGCTAAATTAAACAGATCAGCTGAGGTGTGATCCTGTCACAACTGATCCACTTTACGTCACCCATTGTCCTGCATCAGGCAGGTGCCTGATCCTGCAAGACAAAAAGTGCCTTAGAGACATGCCTTTGAGACTCCTCATGGCACACCTCTGGGCAGGGAACCCCAGCTTTCTCTGCCTACAGAGATATGCGTTGGGGAATCTCTAAGGCATGTCTTCTATTACCACCTTCGCAAACACAAATTTTGGGCATTTGTGTTGTGACAAGGGATATGGATGTCTCGTTGCTTTGCCTTTGTGCTACAGTAAAAATGTTTAAGGTGGCACAGAGTCTGTCTCCACCCCTAGAGACCAACTTGTTCAGAAAGGCATAAGCTTTTGTAGGCAACAAATGACTTTGCCTCTGACAAAATAGACTGTTGTCTACAAAATCCTATGCTTTTCTGAATGAGTTAGTCTCTGTGGAAAATGATCCTTCCATTTGTTTGTGCTGGTGAGACCTTATTTGCAGTACTGTGTCCGGTTTTGGGCCCTGCACTTCAAAAAAGAGATGTGAACAGATTAGAAAGAGTAAATTAGAGTGACAACAATTATTAGAGTTCTGGGAAACATGATTTACGAAGAAATGCTGAAAGAGCTAGGATTATTTAGTTTGGAGAAGAGAGAACTTAGGGAGGATTCGATAAATCTTCAAATACCTGAAGGATGGTTATATGCAGGATGGAGGTAGGCTATGCTCTGTGGCTGCATGGGACAAGACTAGGATCAATGGTCTTAAATTACAGTAAGGAAAAATTAGGTTGAATAATTAGGAAGAAATTTCTTACTATGACTGTGGTTAACCTTTGGAAAAGGCTACCCAGAGAGGTGGTGGAATTGCTGTCCTTGGAGAGTTTTAGGCGCAGGTTAGATATACACCTAACTGGGATGGTTTAGTCAGGAATGATCCTGTCCTTCATAGATGGTTGAACTATATGACTTCTTGAGGTCCCTCCAAGCTATATGCCTCTTAGGCCCTCTCTACATGTTATGTGTATTATACAATTACGTGGCTAACTGGACAACTAATTTAAACTGGCTACACATGCTAATTACGTATGGTGCCATAAAAAGGTCCAGCCAGTTATACAGTTATAGCTGGAAAATATGTAATAACTTTATAGCTGGTTTCTATCTTGCTTTAATTTGCACATGTAGCCTGTGTCCCTGTGGCTGGGAGCCCCATCAGCTGATCAGAGCTCCCAGCTGAGGGAGCCCATGTGCACCCCTGAGCCTGGGAGTTTCCCACTGATGCTGGCTCCCAGCCATGGGAACATATGACCCCATAGCTGGGAGACCCATCAGCTGACAGGGCTCTCAGCTGCTGGAGCACCCCATGCACCAGAGGGGCTGGGAGACTGCAGCTGCTGTGCTCTCTCAGCTTTGGAGGTTTACCATGCACCCCCATGGCTTCTGTGAGGATGCCTGTTTTACCCCCACTGCTGGGAGATCTCAGCAGTTGTGGTATCCCAGCCTTGGGGTGCCCCTGCAGCTGGGAGATCCCAGCAGCTGTAGCTTCCCAGCCACATTGGTCTATGGGACTTCCAGCTGAGGGAGTTACTGCAGCTGAGGGGGCTCCCAGCCATGGGAACTTGCCAGGATCAGGCTTCCCTTGCACCAGCAATAAGGTGTGATAGGATCCAATTCACAATCACACGATCATGCCTCCTGCCATGCGCCTGTGGCAGGATAGGAGGTACGATAGTGTTGATTATGCATTAGTGCCCAATGCACTTTTACTTGCAAGTATAGCGGAGCCTTCATACCTGTGTGGCTGGACTAGGAAAAGAAGCTCTTTTAATCAAGTTGGCTAAATTCACTTCAGTTGAAATCTACACTTGAACACAATATAGATGAAGTTTCTCTCACAATATAATTGAGAGAGAGTTGCATCTAACTGATGAAATTGGAAGATTTCTAATTCATCAGACTTTTTTTTTTTTAATTCTTTCTACAGGAGAAATAGAATCAAACAGCCTAACTAGCTCTAATATACACTTGATGAATTAATTTATTTTATTTATTGTAAAGATTGCTGTATAATAGTGGAGAACTACATTCTGACTTGGAGATTTCTTCCCGCTTTTCATTCCTAGGAGATGGTGATATTATTTCCAATAATGAACTAAAAAACCTATTCCTTTTCCAGGGCCTGTGTGTACATCAGAAAAAAGTAAAAAAAGCACAGATCATTGGTTCCTATTCAATATCTTAGTAAACTTAAAAGCCAATCCACCAGAAAACAAATTACAACACCCTTTGCAATGTCTTCTTTAGGAGAAACTACGTCTTGAAAGAAACAAGGAATACAATCAATATCTCAGGGATAAGGAAGAGTGGAATGAAAGGTTAAGGAAAATAGGAAAAAACCCCACAGAGGTAATACAGATTTTACTGGAATCGGTACATTCTGAAAAACTTCTTAATGAGATTGGTTAATGTCTTTTTCTGTCAGTTATTTAATGCGTGCTGTACATGGACAGGAAGAAAGACAAGGGACAAGAAATGTGATGTAATTAGATTGCAGCTCTAAGTCATCTGGGAATTAGTCATCAGTAGGCATCTATACACATGCTGGATGTCTGCTTCGTGTGCTAATTAGCATGCTCTAGCAGCCTCCGTATCGCATGTATTCAGTGTCCCCGTGCTTCCAAATGGTGGCAGGGGTGCTTTAACTAAAGTTCATTGAATTTACTTTAGTTAAAGCACCCCCACTGCCATTTTGAAGTCTGGGGTGCTCAATACATATGATGCTGCAGGCACTTTAAGAATGGTTCTTTGAGCCACTCTAATTAAAGTCATCTTCCCCCCCCCTTGCCATCCTGGAGCACGTGTAAAGATACCCAGTGATTCTGTCCTTCATTTTCAACCCAGATAGAGCCTCCACTCCACTGAGGATAGGGGTGGGGTGCATTTTGTCAGTTCTATAGACTCTACATTGCCAGTTTCAGAAATACAGCTGTTTAATACCCTCCTGGGTAGTTTCAACAGGGTGTTAATGTTTACCTTGCCAGGTTTTTTCCCCTGAATCGCCTCATTAGTGTTTTTAGTTGAGGGGTGAAGAAAACATAAAAACAAGCCAGTAGTAGTGTATGAAAAACTTTACAGGAACCAAGATTTAAAACAGTACTTGTCCCTTGCGCCCTTCTTTGGTTCATGCCATCCGTTGTTTCAATCATAATCTTGGGAACCTATCTTTTAGGTGTTTTCTGTTTTGGACCTGGTGTATTTGCAGATATTATCAAATCAAGATAGTGAAGAACATTTTTTAGGATCTCAGATTTTTTTTATACCCCTAGAAAGCAGAGTTTCCTAACCTACTGCCTGATATTCCATAGTAATAAAATATCTCTCAGTGAGCGTAAAGAACTTCTAATTTCTAACATAACATATCCATGATGACTAGACAGACCTCATTTTTCTCTGTATTTTGTAAGAGTTTTTGTGCTGTGTAAAGGTAGGTCTACAAAGCATATATCTTTGAAAAGAGGAAGTACCTCTAAATAGTCTTTAGCATCACCCTTTGTTAGGGACAGATTAGATGAAGGGAGGTGTTTTTTGTTTAGTTTCTCCTGTTTAATTCGACAATGTGTTGGCCTTGTAGAACAAGGGATAATGAATGGGTTTGACCCAGTTCTCCCTTTTGAGAGAGGGAAGGATAGCTTGGAAAAGACAGTAAGGGGATTGGAAAACTGTCCTGTGTGTGAGGCAGGAGAGCAGGAGTGAGTAGGAATGGGAGATAATATGAGCGAGGCAGAATTGTTTTCTTTTATAAACATATTGAATGCGGGTTGGCAAGTGAAGTTGGCTTGGAGGGGTGGGGGATGCTGTCCTTGGTCAGAGGCAGGGAAGTGGAAGTGGGAGCTGGGGGTGGGTAGTTTTGCTTTGAAATGTCTTTATTTTTTTTTCCTCTGGGCAGGGAGGATATTTTTGTTGTTGTAATTATTTTAATATTTCCTTCTGTTTTGTAATTCTTTTTTTTTCTTTATTGTAAGCCGCCCTGGGCTTTTTGGGGAAGAGTCACAGATAAATACATCCTTTTGAAGTTTTCATTCAATGGAAGTTACCCAATAAAACTACCAACAAATCTAGTTTTACTATGAGGTCTTTCAAAGGTTTTTCTATCAAGTTAGCAGTATACCTGCTAAAAATGGAAAATGTGACATGAAGTATGACTAGTTAGCTGGCATACATTTTATATTAGAAACGCAGCTAAAAATCATTGTAAAAAATTTACTAGTTAAATTACTAGAACTCCCCCACCCCGTCAAAAAAAGAAAAAAAAAAGTAGTATGTATGTGCCTGCCTGTCTGTCTGTAAAATATACCTCCTCAAACATCATTGTTTCTGGGAGAAGTAGGGGTTTATAGGGTTGTAGCTGTGTTGGTCTAAGGACATAGGCAGACAATGTTCTTTGGATAAATGTGATATCTTTTATTAGACCAACTAAATAGGGGTTTATATATTTTCAGAGATCTTGGTGTTGACCCCCAGAAAGTAGCTTAAAAGTTTTGCTGTCCTTACCTTACTCAGTTAACATTTTCCTGAGATAAATGGGAGTTTTGCCTGAATGAGAGCTTTAAAGAACAGGCTTGTTATACTTGTTTGAGATGCTTATACATCTTTAAAGGCTAAAATGCTAAATGACTGTTCCCTTGGGAGTGGAGCTCCAGGTTTGGAAAAGTCCAGAAGTCCTTTGGTAACTTTTAAAACCATGACACGTGAGGCTTTTGTGTGCATGAAGTGAGCTAATTTTTCTACTCTGAAAGTAATTCCCATTCAGTGTTAGATGTACGGTAAAGCCCTTAAAGCTGGAGAGTGAGCACTTGGGGCCTTGTAAAGCTGGCCCATTCTGACAGTCCAGCAGTTTTTCCATCAATACAGCACAGGAAGCCTGAGGGTATGTACAGAGATAACATTCAAAGGCCTTTGAAACACTTCACATTCTGGAGAGATGTATTTGCCCTTTGAAGTACCCTTTGGTGGAAGTGGTATAAAGCTAACTATGAAGGAAGAAAATACTATTTAGAAGTGCTTCAAAATGAAGCGCTTGTTACCTAATCACACTCTGGGTGTGCCTACACGAGACATTTACTGAGGAGCTGACTAACTAGCTCCACATTAAATGCTCGAGTGTCTACACATGCACCCCTGTTAGGGCACAGGAAACTAATAAGCTACACAGCAGATTAGTACTTGTAAATACAAGTACAATACAATATTTACAAGTACTACCCTGCTGCAGAGCTTTTTGTTCTCAGCAGAGCACACGTAGACAGTGACTGGGGCACAAGGGTGTATCAGTGCAGGGCTGCCTGCCAGCTAGACCCATGCTGAAGCACCCTCGTGCATCTGCCAGCCCCTCTGCAGCACACTGAGCCCAGTCAGAATAGCCCCAAGCTGGCAGACTGAGCCCTGGGGCTCCCTGCCAGCCGGGACTGCTCTGCCGAGGCGCCATGTGCTGTGCATGAATAAACTCTGGAGCCGATTGCTCTGGAGCACACGTTCAGATAGCATACCCAGGAGCAAAAAACTCTGGCGCAATAAGCTCCAGAGTTTATTCATGTGCATTAATTACATGTGAAGAGACGCTCTCTATGTAGCATGACAGGGGATCCCTGGGTTCTCCAGTATCCTACAGTGCACTTCTCCCTCCCACAGAAGAATGGCTCAGGGGAGAGGACCTTATCAGTATAGTCCAAGCAACCTTGTTTTAGTTGACTGGCAAAGAGTTGATGATCTGAGAGGGGAGAAGAAAGAGAGAAATCTGCAAAGACATTGCTCCCCAATGCTTTTAGGGTTTCTATAGTATGGAAGGAATTTCTTCTTAAAGGATTTACTTCTTTTTATTCTGAGAGGCATATTTTTAATGGTTTCAGAATTATAAGCCCATATGTTAAAAAAACAACAGCAACAACAAAAACCCCTGTCCAAAGGCAAAGCTGTAATGTTCTTTTGCATCCTCTAGGGCAGAGGTTTCCAAACTTTTCATGTTGGTGACACACTTTTTAGACATGCATCATTTCGCGACAGAGTAATTCAGTTCCGGGGGAGGGGCCAAGGGAAGCAGACGCGAGTAAGGGAGCGCCGCGGTGCCCTTCCGCAAAATTTTCTGCATTCCGCGCGCCACACCTACACACTGCCGCCGACACACTAATGTGTCGCGGCACACAGTTTGGAAAGCTCTGCTCTAGGGGAAGGGGGAGGGCAGTAAAAGTTGTTAAATTGCAGCTTCTTTGCTGAACTG